GGTCGTGAGGGTGCTGGGCACAGAGGAGGCCCAGGATGGAGGGTGGAGAGTTGTCGGATCCGGAACACACACTCTCACACACAGGCTGTAGAGCCCAGGGTGAGACGTGGGTGAGCCGCTCCCGGACATGGACTTTACTCTGGTGTCGGGAAGACGTTCCAACCAGGTGGCACAGAGAGCTCACTCACACAGGGACGCTGCTGGGGGCGGAGAGGACTCAGCAGACCAGGCCTCCCACTGAGGGTCTGACTACAAAACCACACTGCGACCACCTGCGAGGAGGAAGATGCAGAGGAGCGCACAGAGGGGGCAAACGCCGAGACAGAGGTGGCTGTGGATGCCGAGCTGACACCAAGCTGGGCTAGGTGTGGCGCCCCAGTCCCAGTAAGAGAGGACCGGAGGGTGTCCTGTCCAGAGGGCCCGGAGCTGAGAAGGCCCAGGTGGAGCTACTTACGGGTAGTAGGAGTAGGCATAGTGGTCTCTCCTGGCAGCATGCAAAGAGAACAACACAGCTGTGTCCGAGTTCCTTCCCGAAGGCCGGGCTGTGGGCAGTGCCCACCCAGCAGGGGAGGGAGGGGCTCTGAGGGGGCTGCCCTTGGATGAATAGGTCACAAAGAGGACCTTCCTTTTCCCCAGGGCTGGCCAGGCTCAGATACTGAGGAATGGGCTCAAAGCCCTTTTGAATCCTTCTCCTGCTAGAGTGAAGGTGGGGCAGTCTGGGAGGAAGGGGAGAGCTTTCACACACAGAGATACACACACACACACACACACAGGAAGCGATGCACACACAGACACGCTCATATATAGAAACAGACACACAAGTACTCCCACAGGTACACAGACGCACAGCCATGTTCTCTCCATGTGTAACTCATCCAAGTGCAGGCTCACGAATGCAGACCTCCCCCTGGACACAGACATGTGTTGAAGTGCTCACACAGGCACAAGGGCACATACACTCACGTCCACACATCGCCACACGCAAAGGTAACAAAGCTCACCTGGAGCTGCACTCACCCCTGCAGAAAGCACCCTCCCACACTGGTCTCTACCGCTGCTGACACCTGCAGGCCCCTCGGCCTGGGAGGGGAAGGGTGGCTGGGGACAGGGAGAGGGCAGAGTGGAGAGCACTCTAGCTGGGCACCCAGAGCAAGCCTAAGGGCCACCCTTACCCAGCCCAATGCATCCAGGACACGGGGTCCACTAACGGGGACGGGTCGCCCCCTCATGGGGGAACCTGTGGACAACCTGGGTCAAGAGACCTCGGGTGAGGTCCGTAGGGAGTTCTGACTGCCATTTCACAGGTGGGGACACTGAAGCTCTGAGAGTCATGTGCTACCCTGAGGCTACCCTGAGGGTCAGTGGCAGAGTCCAGGGCAGGTCCTAGGTCTTTGGACACTTGGATCAGGACTTCAACCCCCCTCCCACCAGGACCACCTTTGCACTCCCAACTGAGTCCCCATCCAGGGGACCTCCGCTCACCCACCCCATCACCCCAACGACAGGGCCCCTTCTAATGACCTTCTACTAGGACATCTTGCAGAGGCCCAAGAAGGGGAGAAAACAGAGAAGGTTGGAGGAAGGGCATTCTTTCTATCTAACCTGAAAGGTCTTTCTTCAAAAGGAGCTTCTTGCCCACTCCCCAGAGGCCCCACCTAAACCCAGCACCCTGTCCCTTCTGTTACAGCACCTACCACAGTTCTCGCTGGGCTGGCTGCTACTGGTGTTCTGTCTTGTTGCTGCCTGCGTCCCACTAACGACACTGCACCCACCACGAGATCCCCAGAACCTAACCCAGTGCCTGGCACAGTATACCCCTTCACTAGATGCTGTATTGATCAAGCACTCAATGCATGCATGCATGGCTTTAAATAAAGGACATCACCCCTCTCCGAGCTTCATGTCTTGAGGTTAATAATAATCCCAATACGGAGCTGTAAGGCGGCTTAAGCCCCATGAAGGGTGTGCTCAGCAGAACTCACTAAGCTGGGCCTCCACCCTCCTCCAGAAGGCTCTCTCCCACAGCTGAGCTGGGGGAAGGGGACAGCACTCCGGGAGGGCCCTACTCCAGAGGGCCAGCCCTCTCCACTGCTCAAGAAGCTCTCCAAGCAGCAGGGAAGGCACAGGAAGTCAAGCCCCAGGAGTCAGCCCTTGAAAGAGCAGGATGGAGAAAGTGCCACCAAGGAGAAGAGCCAAGAACTGG